GATCCTCCCGGGGTCTGGGAAAGCCCTAACAACGCACCGCTCCAGCAGGTGTTGGAGACCTTCCTCGAGAAGGTGTGGGCTCGGCGAGAGGGCTTCAATGAGGTTTAGGGGGTTGCCCCCTAAACAATAGACCGTGCTTGGCATCTGCGCCACAGGTATGTATTCCTGCAAGTGTTCCCAAGCTCCCAGATTGCAGAAGAGGAAAAACGATCAAAGGCCCTGCAGTTTACCAGCATAGACCCTTGAAGCCGCGGCTTCCCAGAGAGCCCAACACCCCTTATTCAAGGTATGTACCATAATTAGGGGCTTCATATAATGATTTAAAGTAAACCCTAACACTGACAACCCAAACCCTGAACCCTAAGCCCGAAACCCTTCTGTAGCTCGCTTCCGAACTTGCAAGTCTACGAACCTTAAAAAGCTCGAAATGCAAGCCTCTTCAAACCTACCCAGAGGCTCCACAGTAGTTCCTTTTTTGGGGTTCATATTTAGAACCCTATAAGGTAACCCAAAAAAGGAACTATTCTGGTGCCTATGGGTACTGATATGGGAAAAGCAGGCGACAAACTGGAGGAGGAAAGGAGCCTACTCACACCATCCCTAGGTCACCGTGGTGGTACTTGGAGGATCATGGGACTTAGAGAAAGGGCTCCTTAAAGGGATCTATAGGGGTTCCTTGAAAGGGATCTATGGGGTTTAGGGTTTAGGGTCTACTTGGAGGATCATGGGACTTAGTATGTAAGGTCATAGGTACCTTAATTGGGGTTATAAGTAGCTATAAGTAGAGTTACCCTAATTATCACCCTATTTACTAAGTCCCATGATTCCCATGATCCTTTAAGTAGGAGATGCAGTTGTTGCAGCTGACGAGCGATACCTATCGTTAGGCCGCCATTACCCAACCTGCCAATGTGTAGAGTGTAGAGTCTTACATGTGGGTACGATGCCGCGATGTCCTGCAGGCCGTTACAACGTTTTGCGAACTCCAGGTGTGCTGTGTGTGCTGTGTGTGCTGTGTGTGCTGTGTGTGCTGTGTGTGCTGTGTATGCTGTGTGTGCTGTGTGTGTGCTGTGTGTGTGTGTGTGTGTGTGTGTGTGTGTGTCTGTGTGTGTCTCTGTGTGTGTCTGTGTGTGTGTCTGTGTGTCTGTGTGTGTCTGTGTGTGTCTGTGTGTGTCTCTGTGTGTGTGTGTGTGTGTGTCTCTGTGTGTGTGTGTCTCTGTGTGTGTCTCTGTGTGTGTCTCTGTGTTTGTGTGTGTGTGTGTGTGTGTGTGTGTGTGTGTCTGTCTGTGTGTGTCTGAGTGTGTCTGTGTGTGTGTGTGCGGATGTGTGTGTGTGTGTGTGTTTGTGTTTGTGTTTGCGTTTGTGTTTGTGTCGTGTGTGTGGTGGGTGGGTGGGTGAGTGAGTGCCTGATTGTGTATGTATGTATATATATATATATGTATATATATATATACACGTACACATATCAAATGTATAGACATATGCATAAAACATGCGGCTTTATATATGTACACACATAGCACCCCTGTGTTGCTCACCCCCAAAGCCCCGAGCCGTTAGCCTTACATTAAACCTTAGATCTTAAACCTCAAGGTCTAAGCCTTAAACCCCAAACTGTTCGATGATTGGAAGGTGTTGCCATCCTTTCGTGCTTGGCGATTGCCTGCTCCGCCTGTGGCTCAGTAAGTCAAAACCCCAAGCGCTAACCACCAAGAAAGCAGACTTAGGCTTTTAGGGTTTGGGGTTTTAGGGTTTCGGGGTTTGGGGTTTTAGGGTTTCTGAAGAGCCACGATACCGTGGAAACAGAAGACACGGTTTAGGGTTGAGGGTTTGAGGAGTGTAAGTTTTCCAGAGCGCCGGCCCCACCTGTAGGCCCAAGTCAACGGTGATCTGGTGCCAAAGCCGGGTATCAACGCTCCAAGTGCCAGCTACTTGCCAGATGGCCGATTTGGAGTTTCTTAAATTGCTGGGATACAGTATCTTCTGCGATTACCATTTGCAACGGACGAAGTCGCCAAACTAACAGTTCTACGGATTCTACGGTTCACCCCGAAACACAGACCGCTGAGCTACCGTTGGCGAATACTGTACCGTTCAGACCTGATACAAACCCAAACCTCTAAACCCTATAAGCCCTAAACCCCTAAACCCCTGAACCCCAAACCCCTAAACCCCTAAACCCTAACCTCTAAAGCCTTTTCGAAAGTCCTGAAGCCTGCAGCCCTAAACCAAAACACCCTAAGCTCAAAGACCCCAAACCCAAAGCGCTAAAGCCTAAACAATAACCTTACCCTACCCTTAGATCTCGCAGGATGGTTTTGCAACATAGCGGTGTTAAAGAAAATCAGGGCGGCTGTCCACATCCCGGGTTCAGACCTAATTACGATTGACACTTAAGCGTAGGGTTTAGGGTTTAGTGTCTTAGTGTTTAGAGTCTTAGGGTTTAGGTTTTAGGATTCAGTTAGATCAGCGGACTTGGTCAGCCGGTTACAAGCACCTGACTTGCAGTTGCTTAACATCCGGCTCTACATACAGAGTAACTGCTAAACACCATTGGCGCTTAAGTATGAACCCCCAAGGGCCCAAACCCTAGACCCTAATATAGTCCCTATGGACTTTAAATCAATCTAGAAACCCTAAGCCCTCCACCCTGTACCCTAACCTCAGCCCTAAACTGTATACTCAGCCCAAATCCCGAAACCCTAACCTCTCGATCTCTAACATCCCTAAGCCCTACCTGAACCCTAAACCCTAAACAAAGCCATGCGGCTCCGAAGCCCCCAAACCCCCTAAGGGCCTGGAGATCTACTGTAGTTTCCTCAGGAATGATTTCTTTTCAAATAAAACGCCCAAGAGAATATTAAGAATTGTGTTTTGTTGTGGTTGGCTCAGACCCCGAGATGACCCCGACACCAACATGTCCTCTCGGCAGCGTCAGACGCTCACGCGCTTGGCCGCCTCTAAAAAGTCGACGGCCGCTGTTCAGGACGGTGACTCCTTCTTGCTGGTGGGGGCCGAGAGTGACTTTGCTTCAGCCAAGAACATGCTGAGGTGACAGGGCCCTTACGGGCGGGTATCCCCTGCAATGACCCACGTTGAGGCCATGGCTGCTCAGAGACTTTTAAGCCACCCTGGCCTTCTGTCCGTGCTCTCGGCTCTGGGCACCTATCGTGACGCTCGCAAGCATGAGCTAGGACACGCTCCTCAAAGTTTCGCTGACGCTTCCGTTGACAGGGCGTGGCTTTGGGAATGAGACAGTTTGACCTCAACACCCTAAACCCTGAATCCTAAGCACCGTTCCTCCTGAACCTCCTCAACCTTTTAGGCCTACCCTTGCGCCCAGCCCGGAAGCACGTCTCTGTGCAGACTTTCCTTATCTGCAAAAGCAGATGAACTAGCAGATCGTGCTCTCCACAGCGCCGGACAGAAAGCCTAGAGACCGCAACCCGTGCCAGTGTCAGCATGTGCCGTTTTTTCCCACACAGGCCACGTTTTTTTGCTTCCTATGCAAAAAAAAAACAAAACGCGTAAAGTTCCAAAAAACTGTGTGGAGGACGTCTCGCGCGAAATGGGCGTTTTTGACGCCGGCAAGTGGGGGCGCGCGTGCATGCAGCAATTGCACGTGCAATGAACACACTAAATCTCACCCTTGACCCTAAACGCCACACCCCTAAACCCGGTAAACCCGAAGAACTTAAGCCCAAAGACCCTAAACCCCAAACCCTAAAACCCTAAGCGCTAAAACCCTAAACCCTAAACCCTAACTTCAGCCCCAAGATTCTAAACCCCAGACCCAAAGACCCTGAACAACCGAGGCCTACTTTGGAGCGGCCGGCTCCTTGCGCCCTTAACTCAAGGGGAGGGGCCGAGGTTTATGGATTTCGGGTTTTAGGATTTCAGGTTAGGGCTTTTAGGGTTTAGGGTTTCAGGTTTAGGGGTTTTAGGGTTATTTAGAGGTACAGGTTGAGGCTTTTACAGTTTAGGGTTCAGCCTGTGATCTCGCCAGAGGGGGCTATGAGCCGGGTTGAGAGAGTTTACTACAGGGGCTCCAATAATGGGTATAGGCTTCGGAGTACGCTATACGTACTAGAACTGCCCGGACTATAAGGGGATGTCATGTAAAGCCACTAGTTTTTTGCGACGACCCCAATACATAGCTCAAGGTTTCTGTCTCGGGGTTGTGGCTCGATTTTCAGATGTGATGTGGTCTAGCTTTTTCAGTTGTGCAGCTTCTGTTTCTTTGAGGACTCTGCTCCACAAACACAGTGGGGCGAGTTTCGGGGTCGGGGGTTTGGGTGTTACATGTGTTGTCATCGGGTCGAATGCTTAGGTATAGGGTTCTATTGTCTCCTTCGATTTTTTGATTTTGTTCATATAAAACCCAAGAGCATATGAAAAACATCAGTTTTATTATGGTTCTGAGGCGGGTACAGGGTTGGGGTTTGCAAGGCAGCAGGATTCGTACGCGGCGCGCTGCATGTAAACAACTGAGCAAGTGCACAAGTGCAGTTTGGAGGCTCGGAGGCCATGGAGCCACGTGGGGAGTTTCCGACAATAGGGGACCTTAATATAGCAGCCAAGTAGTAGGGGACCTTAGCAAAGTAGCCTAAGTAGTAGGATCCTTATTATAAGGACCCCAAAGTAGGGTACCCTAATTTTCGGTAAAATCCCTGACTATAATGTTTATTATAGAACCCTTATAGATCCCTTATAGTAACCCGTTAAATCATAGATGTCCATAGCCGGTCTGTCTCAACCATCGGGCTGTCTCGATTAAGGGTTCTGTCTCAGCTTGTTTATGTGGGGTACGATGCTTGCAGAAAGTCGCTCCTTTTTTTCCCTCGCCCACCCCAGTTGCAAAGGCTACATCGCATTTTCTAAATGTGAAACGAAACCCCTGAGCAGCAGGCATTGAATCACACGGCCGAAAAAAGAGTGTTGATTAATTATTGTGCTGCCCTAGTCTGTTTCATTCCATACCTGCATCGTTCCCCAAACTTTCACTGCGTCCTTCGCCGCTTGTCCTTCATGGCCTCGTTGGCCCACGTCCAGGTCATATAGTATGCCTGCGACTGCGACCGCTTCTCTGGTGCCAGCGATTTTGTTTCGACCTTTGCCAAATCGACCTCCTCCTTGGGAAGCTCATCATTGTAGCTCGCGGAGCAAGAACCCCTGAGCAAAATCATTTGATGACAAACGGGGGGAGGGATCTAGAATCTAGAATCAATATGAGTTCAGTGATTCAGAATCAGAAGAAAGACGAAGAAGTGAAAAACCAAGGCACTTGTTGTTGAACTTGCCGGTCAACAACCTGGCTTGAAACAGTGGTCTCGTTTGATCCCGATGCACCGTGTGAGTGATGCTGATACCATCCATGACCGGCCATCTGTCCGTCAAATGTTTGGGGATCATAGAAGCCGACGAAAGCAGCCTTCTGGACTCACGAAGTGTATTGGCGGCGTCAGCAGCGTCTCCCCTTTCAGCAAGAGGCAGCTCCTGGCAACCGAAACTATTCATGACTGACTAACTTGCGGTACCAGTCAGGAACCCCATCTGAAATGAAATGGGTGGGTCGGGTGCTTCTGGGCGCTTAGTCGTGTCATTTTGGGCCGGATGTGTTTTGTGAATTCACGGTCCTGGCCAGCTGCCGCCTCTGGATCTTGTGGTGCTTCCGCTGGCTGTTCCTTATTATCATTATTATTGTTATTTGAATGGCATTGAGTCGAGTCGGAATTGAAAATGGGCCCCAGTCGCAAAGTCGGACGATTCTAGGACCCGAAACAATTTAATATTTAAGAAATAAATTATGAATAATGAATATTGCGGTGCTGTGACATGAAGGAACCCAGGGCTTTTGTTTTTGCAGTTTGTACATCCTATGGGGTAATGTAATATTACAGTATTATCTGAAGCACTGAATCACCATCTCAAGTACGTGATTCATTCATTAATTTATAAGTAAAATAATAAGTAGCATAATTTAGATAAAATAAATTAATCATAATTATAATAAAAATTATAATATAAAAAAATACCTAGACTAGGTCAGACTAGCTGTTGATGTTAGTAAAGCAACAAGAGCCCCAGACCCCAGAAACGGCTGAACGTCGGCAAGCAGCCTCCTCATCATCATCTCCGATCAAAGCCAAAAGCTCGTTGGCTGCAGCCAAAGTAGGATCTGGCTCCTCCATGAGCTCGAAAGCCTGTTGTGGCAAGAGCTTGCGTCGTTGAATTTCTTAAGAATTGAAATAACCAGCCCGGATTCGGACCTGTTGAACCAATTAATTTATTGTCGGATTAATAATGAAACAGGAAACGAGATCATTATTCCAAGGGCCTCGGGCTGCTCATCATCATCATCTTCTTGCTCTGCATTTGCACTGCGGTTTCGCCGCTTCGCATCCATTTCCTCACACATCTTCCCGATGTCCTGAACATCCTTTTCGGATATGTGCTGCTTCACTTCATTGAGCTGCAGAACTGCCTTGATCTTCGCGGTCTTGGAGGCATTCTTTCTCAGTCGGGATCCATACATGTGTAGAATCTTGGAAAGGTTCTCACTCGTCACACTGCAGATATCCCGACTATAGACGAGGTGCAGCACCAGGGGCTTAGGCTGGGAGGATCTTCTGAAAACAAGGCTGCTGCCGATCTTGCTTGCAAGGCTGTTGCTGCAGCAGTGCACTGTGTAATAGTAGCATCCCACCTCTGCAGAATCGTGTGTTGAATAAATGGAAGCTTCAATCCAATGCTAAGTGATAAATGTTTAACGAATGAACTCGAACCTTTACAGTGAATCTAGTCTAATTTAGATTATTCAAATTAAAGTCAAAAACTGAACAGTAGTAGTAATTCAATTCACTGAATTAGACCGAGGCACTTGGCTAAAGTCAACCAAGGTCCGCTGTAGCAATGGCCTCGGTCGGCGTGTATCTGAAATACTAATGAACCAAGAAAGACAACCCTGAGTGTGAGCGTTTGCTACAGTTGAATCGCAACCGGCTCGTGAGTAGTCTTGTCAGTGAGTTAATTAAATACATGAATGAAACAATTTGATGGATCCGGCTAGCTAGCAACTCAAATGCTGCTTTCATCCAAGTGGCTTGCTTACGTCAAGCACCAATGCTTTGGAGCTTTCACCCTCCTTCAGGCAATCCTCTGCTTCCCACCGGGCCACATTTTTGGCAACACTGTTCTCGTCGATTGTCTCGGGCGGCAGCTCCCCGTGAAAGCTCAACTCGATCTCGCGTAGCTTCAGTGCCTTTCAGGTTGTGATGGGTGAAGCCGAAGTTTTCTCCAAACACCCGAGACCTACTTTCCAGATTCAAATCAGTGGCTGCATCTATACTTTTGATACGACTAGAAAGACAGAAATAATATATTACACAGGCAAATACATAAATTCGTTAAATTAAGACCTATATAGGAGAAACAGAACCTTCGGCTGGTCAAGGGTTGGAGGGTTATTATTAATCAACTCCAAGACACACACAGCAAACCGGGGTTGCTTCCCAAGGCTAGCAGAAAAGACTGGTTCACCTTGATCAGCATGCCTCTCCGGACGACCCCTGGAACCCAAAACGAAGCCGAAGCATCAGCCGGATCCAGGCCACACCTTATCACCGGGAGCACGGCAAGGAATCTAAGAAGGTGTTTCATAATAATATGGTTAATTTATTACTATCATTATAATTGATAATTAATATAAACTAACAAATATTTAGTTAAATTAAATAAATAATTAATACTAATAATACTAACAATTATTATCAAATAGTAATTATAACATTTATTATACTAATTTTCTTCGGTTCAACCAATTCTGCGGGCATTGTCTGTCAATCAGGGGGCGGGTTGCCACGGCTGCCGATTGCATTGAATTAGTCTAATTAATATACTTAGTCGTGTCAACTAATAAATTAATTCAAAACGGTATTCTGACAAATGTAACACCCAGCAGCATCCGTGCCTCGAGAAAAGCTTTCATGTAGTTCAAGGTCCCCTTGTTGTGCTGGTGAGCCGACGTGCCGGATGCACTAGACAGAATGGTGTCCAAATGCAGATCTTGGCCTCGGTTGCGCGATTCACACCACCACTGAATAAACAATCAGGTAATGCAACCAATTTGCGAAAAAACAGATCCCAGGCCAAAAGAAGTCCAGGTGACAACTAGTTGTAAAAAGTAACAACAATAATTATTAATTAGATAACCAGTTGCCCTGACTAGTCCATGTCACCCTAGTCAGGAAAAATTTTATTTATTATAATTATATTGATTATTATCATCATCGCCAGACATTCCGAGTCTGTCTGTGTGCGTTCGACCAGCACAATTTTTGGACCTGGTGTTTGTTAGTTTCCCAGTATTTGAGAATAGTCTGCTGGACCCACCTGTGTTGACACGGAGATATGTGGCTCAAACTTATTACTATTTCTGGCTAGATTGAATTGTGACAATTCTGAATTCTCCGATACACATGACAAAGACAAAGGATGATGGTCGTGTGTCGGTAGACTGATAATAAAGTTTGTGCTCGTTTCGGTCGAAGCAAACTTGTTCTTGCTGTAGTGTGTAATATACAGAGAAAAATATAAGACCCAGCATTAATTAAATTGTATGTGCCCACAAACCCACGAGATTTCACACGGGTGCCCGAATCTCTCGTCGATGTCGTTCGTCGATTATCAGAAACAGAAGCACTACTTGCAGCTGTGTCTCTTCCAGTGAAGGTCTCCGGCTGGAACAACTTCTGTTTCAAAGCTCGCACCGTCGTCCCTTCCCAGTCACAGTCTTGTAGTTTCACAGAAGCGGCTTGGCCGGGTCCGTCCAGCATCTTGGAGTAGAGAGCTTTGACCCCCACCGTACTGAGATTCGTGATCCCAGCCGTCCCACCCTTCGAGCCACGTTTGACACTGTCTTGCATGCAAGAAAACTGCTCCTCCACATTGGCAGAAAAGCTAAGCCGTGGAAACCATGCCATCACTAGGTCACGAACGGTTTGGGTCAAATGGAATCCATCAGACTCCAGACCAACCAGGGTCTCACGGTAAACCTGCCACTTCACATGTGGGCAAAGCTTGTGCAGTAGGTCGGCTGTGTTCTTACTCGCTTCCATCGACAGCACAGTCGCCCACTCAAACTTCAGGGCTTGCAGGACCTTGGACTGCACGGCCTCCAGGTCGGAGACTTCTGTGGACTCTTCCAGTAGGAGACAGGCGCTCGAAGCCGGAGCAGCCGTGAGGTACAGTTGGTAGGACCCGAGTTCGTACAAAGTAACGAGGCAAAGGTCCAAGTGGTCTCGGAGGAGGTCTTGTTGCACACTGCATCGTCGCTTCGCCACTCGTAACTCCTTACTTAGGCAGGCAGGGGAGCTTACTGTTTTCGATTTGACTCGTTGTCTAGTGTCGAGTCAGTGGAAGTCAAGGGATTGAAGACAAGGCCCACAAAGTTGTTTCGATTCGGTACAAACCATTGTTTGCAGTGCCAATCATACATATTGTGATTGTTTCTTCTACTTACCTATTATATTGTTACTATTTTATTTATTTATTAATTTGATTGATTGACTAGGCCACCATACACAGTTCATACTGGCGGACTAGCCGCCGTTGAATTGAATCCAACATACATTCACCCAAAATTCTGCTATAAATCTAGTAAGTACAGCACTGGCGGACTAGCCGCCGTTGTTTGTCTGGTCTAGTGCAGACGAACTAGTACTAGTTATCAGTTGTTTGCATAAGTCTAGTTAGTAAAGGGCGGAGTAGCCGCCGATTTGTCCAGGGCGGAGTAGCCGCCGTGGATGATAGGGCGGAGTAGCCGCCGTGGATATTGCGGACCAGCCGCACTACATCAATCAAGCGGAGTAGCCGCCATTTCTTTTGTGCGGCCTAGCCGCCGTTAGCTACTGCCACTGTAACTAATTTTATTAATTAATTATATTATATTAATTATATCCTACTGTATAACTAACTAACAAATATGAGTACATTGCAAGCAGCAGAAATGAAACTGTTCATTAGTAATTCGAAGACTCACATTGCATCAGGTTGAAGCGAATGAACCCAAAAGTGTAGTGTTTTCTTCTGTCAAAAACGAACATATCGGTGTTTATGATATCAGTTTCAGCAGAACAGCCGCTGCAGGATTACTGCCTTCATTCATTCATCCATCTTTGTCAAATAATAATACTAATATCTCATCCGAGTAGCAAGACCGTGCACGTCGAGGTCTGACATCATAGCCATCGAAGCCATGCCTTGCGGGCCCAGGCCCTCCTCGACGACTCGGGTAAGTCGAGCTTCGAAACCAGGAGAGTTGCACCAGGCTGTATGTTCGTGCAAGGCGTTCAACTTCGACTTGTTGGATTGCTTAGATGAAGCAACCGCTTCTGGACCGGATGACTGTACACATGGAAACATGCAAAATCACAAAGCTTGCAGGTTGCATACACCATTCTGCACATGCAATCTAGTAACGAGCCATCTGCACATGTCGCACCAGGGCTCGGTGAAGAACTGAAGGCTTTCGAAGAGCTTGTGGGCCTCCTCGTCAACAAGGGCCTCGCAACGACACCGAAAATCATGTAGACAACGACAATTGTGTGAAGCCTTGTGGTCTCTGTTGTTCGTTTTCCGTGCTGCTGAGAAGCCCGGACACAGCAGTCCATGATGCGGTTGTACTGTTGCCCGTCGTCTCCGGTGGCAGCCACCCCCATGTCTGCGAAAGGGTTGATACCCTCCTGATAACAAAACAGCAACCCACGTCGACATGTGGGCTGCATTCGCTATGACTTGCGAGCCTCGAGGCAACTCCACAGTACCACAAGCAATGTCGCACTGTAGTACTTCTTGAAGCCGGCTGCACAAAAGCCCCAACTGCACCACCGGCCGGCTTTGTAGGACGAGGAGACTCGCCTTACTGTAACTCAATGGCAAAAACTGATTAAATGAGCATGCAGCGAGACTTGCATTTGATCATCTAGCAAGGGCGGCCCAGGGTCTTGCTTGCGTTCTTGACAATGCTGCAAACATTCTCAAATGCGTGAGTGCCTTCGGCGTTTGGATCCCAGCCATTCCTCGCTTGGGCACACAAGTTGTTGCAGTTTAGTAAATAATTAATTCATTAATTAATTAACTAATTAATACTATTGTCCCAAATACAGACGACCAACCCGCAGACTAAGTTCCATTCCAAGACACTCTGCCAAAATGGACGAAGCAAAGAGCTCCTGTAGCAAATCCTCAGAATGGGCCTGCAAGCAGAAGCTCTACATTGCCAAGGGTGCATGGAAGCTGGAACAAAACTCAAAAGCAAGTTTTCTTGCCAGCATCATGTAAATTTTACGACTTGCAATCCAAGCCACCACCTGTAGATACCGGTCTGCAGCCTGTTGCCAGGAAGCTCCAATTTTGCAGGTGTCCCAAGGACCTTTTTTGGCTTTCATCAACCACTCACTGAGTCGCCAGGTTCCTTGGAATGATTGATTCAGGAAGCACAAAAAAGTGGCAGACTCAGCGGTGGCAATACAGCATCAGTCCCATCGGAAACAAGCAGTTACACGACTAGACTAGGCCTGTACAGCCTAGGCAACTTCCGACTAGAGCACTGTCTGTCGAAACGTGACGATTGGCTAATTTCAGCTGACTGAGGCTCTCTTCACGGCTTTGTTGCACTGCAGCGTTCGTAGATAGTGGTTTTGCAACTTGTGCCTCGGCACGGGGAGCTGGGGTGGGGGTCAGGCTGCGGGGTTTGAACCTGTTGAAATTGAACAACTGACAAAAAATAACATAATCTGCAACCACGTTGACAATTCATCACGAACAAAATTCACCTTGAAGCTTTGGGAGGCAAGGAAGGTGAATGCAGACCAGAGGGTAGACCCCTCGTCTGGAGCCAAGACGAGTCTGAGGTTGGACTGGTGCCTCGGGGTGAGGCAATCCCAAGCTGCCTCCCCTGTGGACGGGTCCCACAGCCAAGCTTTGCCGTCCTCCACCATCCTTTTCTCGCCTTTTTGTGCGTCCAACGGACGAAGAAAACTATCTCCGACCAGTAGCTCCAGGTCGAGAACCGACAACACGTGCATGCATGCCCTCATCTGCTCTCTGGCAGAAAGCTTCTTCTGGCGGATGCTGCTTATGGCTTTCGGCCTGACAGCATGAGTTAATTCTGGGATTGGTACTCCAAACAAATGAGAAGCCAGGCGAAAACAGGCCCAAGAACCGTGTCTTGGTGCTGCCCAGGTGCATTTTCTTCAACTTGGCTTGATTCTCTCCAGTCTCAGCAAACTTGTCAATGATCTTCTGGCCTTCTTGCATCTTTGTTTGCACACTGGCAGTGCTGATAGCCAGAGCACTCAGTCGCTGAAGCGGCAAGGCCGCTGCGACTCTGCCAGCAAAGCCGATCGGCGACCAGACCTTGGATTGGATCTTGGGTTTTAAATTTTATGGCAAAAGCAGGCATCAATGAACTGGTTGTACTCAATATGCGAGCGACATCCAGCTTCCCCTTCGGGGATGCATCCACTATGAGCTCCAGCGACCGAAACGTCTGCTGGTTCAGATCCTGCCCGCAATTGTTGCTTTGTTTGTCTGCGTGGCTGGCTTTGTCATTTGTCTAGGAAACACGGGAACACACGGGAACAAAGCAAATGCACACCTGGGCTTGCGAATCAGGTTGTGCTAGACTGCCACTGCAGCTCCGTCGCCGACTTTTGCCAGTACCTGTAGAGAAAATCGCTGGCCAGCCTCGGATGATCAAACCTGCTCCCTCCTCAACCAAAAGAGCCGGGTCAACATCTTGTACTGGGTCTTCTGCAGAAAAATATACTACATGTCCAAGGTGCCTGTGATGATGGGATGGAACCACATCAGCCATGCCCAAAGACTCCAACGTCTCGTCATGCGACGTGGAGAAAGTACCGGCGGCTCTGCACAAGAACCGCTGCATGCTGAAAACATTCTTCGGCTTCGCATTGTTGCGGAGGCTTTTGCCATTCCTGCAATTCGGGATATGTCGCAGCTGCAGAGGCGAAACAACCCTGTGTGGCACTGCTGACTTGCCGAGCGAGGAGCTTTTTGCACGGATGAAATTCATCCGTGCTACAGACTTCCGGAAGCTTGTCCGAGACAACAGTGTCCACATGGCCTTCTGCTAGTTGCGACAGTCTGTGGATCAGCCGCTTGTGTACTCTGGCTGCATCGATTCGTCCCTGCAACACTCCCCAGGCATGAACGGTGCACAGGACTCCACGATTCTGAGTCTTAGTGTTTGACATGACCAGCCTCACACAGCTTGTCCTCATGGCTTATCCTCAGCAAAAACCAAGTCACGGTGCCGATGCGAAGTCCTGCCATCACGAGGAATTCCGTGATAGTAGCAGCAAAGAACTCATGTTAAATTAAACCATAGCAAATGGGAACTTGTTTAAATGTATAAGAAATCACTTTGTTTCCTCGTTGTAGCTTCTGCGTCGCAGGCGTGAACAACTTCGTTGTTTGCCACCTGGACACCAGTCTTGCTCAGGTTCGTGTATAATAAGCTATGAAATATGCGGCCGAGCACTAGCAATCCCGCCTTCGGTGGACCCCCAAGAATTCTAGGGTAGCGGCCCAGGCTTCCAAATTCACCTCGGAGCCCGAGACCAGCAGCTTGCCTTGGCAAACTTGGCGTAACAGCAAAGATTCACCAAATGATTTCAAATTCCGTTCGGATAACACAGCAAATGAGAAGGTGCAGCTTGATAGACATGAGACAAGAGTCAGACTGGCACATTCGGCAGTAAATCAATCTCTATCTCCGGTGGAAGCAGATTGTTGGCGAACATTTCAATAGCAGCAAGAGCTGCCCGCTGGTGGCCCGGGCTGCAGCCCCGTTGCTGTATGACACAGGACACCTGGGGCCACATGCGGGTGAGTAATTGTTCCAGCGAAACCAACACCAAATCAAATCGCATCCAAGCAGCCATGAGCAGGAATCCAGGGCAGGTGACACCGTTGAATCGAATGCACACTGGGATGTTTTCTTTCTCAATTCTCTTACCCTTGTAGTCAGAGGCTCGGATGATGTGTGTTTGCAGCTCCACCAGCCATGCTTCTGTAAGCTGCTTGACGATAGTCATGTTCCTTAGTCAATGACAATATCAACAGACCAACAGTGGGAAACCCGGTTCTAAGTCTTTTGTGTAATTTAGTTAGTTGAATGACATTTGTAAATAATAAGGAAATAAATAAATCAAATCAGTTACATAAGATACTGACTGCGTAGTGCAGCTCCAGCTTCGCTTTGCAAAACCAGTTGTGGAAGGGTTGTGACCGAGCAAGCATCGGCCAGATCTCTTCCACTCTCAGCAGCCAAGCATAGCCACGGGAGTGTGGGACAAGGTCCTCCACCTATTTGGGGTCCCTAGACTACTCGACGGAGGTGATACTGCTTCTGATTCTGACTGGTCAAGTTGACAAAACGTAACACTAATAACAAACGAAATATTGGTGGCTATCTAGGTCGAGCGGCCTTGTGAAGCTGCAAGACTCCCTGTCTTCCCATTTTGGTTCTAATGAAACCTACTCGGCAGTCGGCGTACTTAATAGAGCCCTTGTCGTTTGATGGAGAGGTAGTAGAGGCTCCAGAGGTGCTGGGTGTCTCTTGATCTGTCTCGGGCTTCTCTGTCCTGCACTCTTCAGCTCGCCATTCACGTAGGGGGGGTCGCAATATGAGTCCGACAGTAGCTGCTCTTCCACGGAACTCATCCACAACAGCCTGCACTGCATGACCGACTCGGTGAATGCATAAGTTAAATTAAATATTAATAAGAAACTGCTTGCACTCAAGAATCCCAGCATTGGACGAGTGCACATTAAGCAGCAAAAGTTAGTTGTCGGCTCCTAATCACGTACTTACTTAAGTAGCCAAAGGGCATCCCAAGCTTCAACGGATAGTTTGCCAACACTGGGACTCAATGTCTGGCCAGCCATTATCTTCTTGTCCGCCGACTTCAGAAATATCTGGCAAACCCGCAGCATCTCCCTTTTCTCGTCATCATTTGAGCTCCTGAGTAGGTACTGTATTATTATATTATCGAGACAGAACTCAGTCTTTCGCAGCAGCGAGACAGAACGCTCAAGTGCCCAGCCCAGTCGCTCGCCGAGCTCCCGAATCTTTCGGGCCAGCCACGTGTCCATCCGTGTCCTGGTCGGCAGGGCAACAGCACGACACAGTTCCATCAAACCGTTTTGTAAGGTCACGTGTCTGCTTCAGGCGTTGTGTGGTCGCCACGTGCGTGCACGTGGCGACCATAAAATGCTGAGACAGAACGCTCGAGACAGCACGCACTAATTGCATCAATTCTTCGAAGCATTCTCAAAAACGCAATACTAAGGGATTCTGCAAACTAGAGTTCTGCCTCAGCCGTTGTGTGGTCGGCACGTGCGTGCACGTGCCGACTTTTTTTTTGAGATGGAACGCACTGGAGACAGAACGCTCTCTAGATTCAGCCCGAGACGTAACGTATCGGAATCCAGACAGCACGTAACCGGCACCCGAATCGAGACAGAACGCTGGCGGCCGCCCCGTCGCCCCCAGACAGAACGTAACCCCCCTTAGAAAAACCCCGAGAACTAGGCTCTGCCTTTAAATATATTCAAACGAGCAGTAGTAAAATCCGGAACCCAAATCGGGCCCTACTCTGGGCCCCATCGACTGCTGATTCGGGACTCACACATACCCTTTTGTGTACCAGACCCATAGATACCGCCGACAAACAGCAGCCCGGCCTCCAAGAACAGATCCCCCCGGATGGCAGTCGCGAGCTCCAAACAGAGGCCACAAAATGCGGCCACTACTGGTTAGATCACTATATTCTATCAACGAAACTCTGTGTTCTGGTGTGACTGAGTATCAGTAAACCCCGTACCAGGTCAAGGATCCTAACATTTAACAAATAAGCACACTTTAGGTTTTATTAATTAATTAATTAAAAACAATGCAAGAACCGGGTCTCAAAGTTGCATACTGACTCCGTCGTGCTGAACTACTAGGACTCTTACTTGCTAAGTCTTTAGTACTTAGTAGCCAAGCTCATAAACCATAACAATGCTCCATCCAAGGTCGCCTGGCTTTACTACATTACTGCATAATCATTACCAAGTCGAAGCCAAGAAGCAGGGCCCGGCAGAAATCGGTGAGTAAGCATTTCAGTACATTGAAACAGCCACATGAATCAATCTAAATCAACCAAACAGGAAATACTAAATCGCAGGGAGTCTCCTGCTGATTCTGCAAGGACTCATTTTTACCGCGTTTGGAGTTTGGTTCCCATTGCAAACTTCAGCTGTACCCTGGTGTGCTGAAGAGCAGGCACATGGCTTTACATGTGGGCCAGGACGGACAGATCGGGCTGCCGTGAAATCGTCCGAGGTAGCCAAAATTCCTGGGGCACGGGCGGTGGGCTGCTGCAGTTATGGGGCGGGCACACCTTGGGTACTTCTCCTGGTCCGAAATAACAAGCCGTGAAATTAACATATGCAAGTGACCACAAAACAGTGGCTTTCGAAACTCAATCGCCGTCGTGACCCGATTCGCCCTCGTTGACGTCGACATCCTGCTGGGCTGCCTGTGTCGTGACTGATAGCAGGGACACGGGTTGCAAGACCCAATAAATAAATTGGCCAAGTGACCTCCTTCAACATCTCGGGCCACGTCGAAAGTTGCTTTCTACCCTTCAATGTCATCTTAGCTTGGATAGTCTTGCTCTGCTCGCCCAAGTTATCCAGCCATTGTCCTTAGATTGCATTGAACAATATGAACAGAGACCTGACCAGATACCTACATCACATTTTTGCAGCACAGAAGCCTCCCAGTTCCGAAACGAACTCCACCGCATCGTTGAGGTTCAAAATGTCCTCGGCCAGGAGGATATCCAGAAAGTGAGGGAAGTCCGACCTCAGCAAACAGCAGCAACACGAGCAGAAAACATCACCGGCAAAAAACAACGACGAATGCAATCATATGTTTCCTCAATGCCAGCAGGACACGAAGACAAGCAGGTCGGTAGGGCATCAATCAAATCCGAGTCTATCTTCTCCAACTTTGAGCGGATGACACGGGGGAGCTGATCCCAGGAAGCACCTTTAGAACCCTCGGCAGAACCATCCATGATGGCTGGGATGTTCGGGGTGCTGGCGGGAGCTTCCGCCGGGACAGCCAATGCGAACTTGTCCTTGAACAGATCCGAATCCTCATTGAGAAGGTCCTCCAAAGCCTTTGTGGCCGGCCGTGGCAAGGTCTCCTCGTCATCCTCGTCGCGGTTCTCAGAACTGGAGTCGCCGGCACCATCCTCCCTGGAATCGTGCCTCTCCCTCTCGCCAGAACCAAACTCAAGACGACGGGGCTTCACACACGACAAAGGCTCAGCAGCCTCGGCCTTTCTCTTCCTAGGAGCCTCAGACAGAGCCTTGGCCGCTGACTTCTCTTTCGAATCGGGCGTCTTCTGTTCAGCCCGTTGGCAAACGAGGCTCCGGACATCCCCATTTGCCTCCTGGAACAGACAGGGATTGAGAACATGCTCGTGCGTCAGCCTTCTCTGCAGGGGCTTGGAACTGCTTCTCCGTTTAGAAATACAGACAGCAACTCACTGCAACGGTCCACTTCACATGCTTTTTACAGTTTTGTGATTATGATAGCAGACAAAATCTGATTCTTGCACAAATGAACAGAACTCTGATCTTTTTTGCAGTGCTGCAAGTGCTGTCTGCAGCTAGACACAAATGGCTGGTCTTCCACAGAACATCGGCCAGTAATCTGGCAATTACGGGGGACTTTTCCCCAAAAATCCATATCAGGATTCACTTGCCGAAGCGGTTGTTGTAGTACTCGCGGTGCCGCCCACCTCGCGATCTCTTCGCATTGTAGAGCTCCTCCTCCAGCTTGCGGGAGGACTTGCCCTGGAACCTCAATCAATTGTAATAGACTAGAATCCTTCCGATACCAGGATTTAGTGTTATTATTATACTAATTTATTTATTTAATTAATTAATTATTATATATTAATAAGATTAATTAAATTAAATAGTTAATTAATATTAATTAATATTAATTTCAATAAATATAAATAAATAAATAATAAAGTCAAGTAAATAATCAGAGGCAGAGGTTTAGTTCAGGTTCAGGGTTTCGAGTGTAGTGGTTTAGGGTTTCGGGTTTAGGAAGTTGATTTAAGGGTTCCGGGCCGGTTCCGGGTGTAGGGTTAAGAGTGTAGGGCCAAAAAAACAAACACGAGTGGTCTCATCATCTAAAATTAATGAGTTCTAACTATAATATATTATAACTAAAATAAACAAAATAACAAATATCATATTATCAAATGCACTGCGGGTCACTTCTTCTCCAGACTGGTCTCTGGGGTGGGCTCCTCGTTGTCCTCGCCGCCCTTGCCATGGTCCTTCTCCTTGCGATCCTTGCGGTCTTTCTCTTTGCCATCCCTGCGGTCCCTGCGGTGCCTGCGGTCCGCGTCGCCCTTGATCTCGGCCTCGTGCTTCTCGTTCTTCTCGGCCTTGTCATTCTCGGCCTTCTTGTCCTTGTCGTCCTCGTCGTGCGTCTTCTCGTCCGGCTCGCCCTTGTCCTCGCTCTTGTCCTCGGACGAGGGTTTCTTCCTCTTGTTGAGGAGGTGGTCCGTGGAGCTTCCAGCACCGCTCGCGGCCTCTGTGGGCAGCGGCTCCATGGTGACCAAGGGAACGACCCGGGCAAAGATCTCCAAGGCCGACTTCCCCCAATCAATGGGGAACATGGCAATCTTGTGGATCTTGATGGGCCGTGCCTTCGGCTGTGGGGACTTCGGTGCCGTTTCACCGTCCTTGGGGTTGATCGGCTCCGTCTTCTTCTTCTCCTCTTCTTCAGTCAAGTCCACAGCCGGGGGAGGCGGGACCTCCTCGCTCTTGCCAGGCACAGGTTTCCACGGCGGGCTCCTGCTTATGTTCTGTGCCTGCTGCTGTGCCGGGACGTTCTGTGCCTGCTGCTGTGGCGGGTTCACAGGCCTCGGCACTCCCATTGCCATTGCCGGTGCCTTCTGGGCTCCTTGCATCGTAGGCGTGCTGACCCCAGTCTGCAAACCTGCCATTCGCAGCAAAACATCGGCCTGGGCCAGCAGCACAGCAGGCGATGGTGCAGGCTGTGACATCGGCAGCTGCAAACCTGGCACCATACCGGTCAACGGCGGCGGCACAGGCAAAGGCGGTGGCGTTTGCGGCAACGGAGGCGGCGTCTGCGGTATCGCAGGCGGCGTCTGCGGCATCGGAGGTGGCATGCTCGCAAACGGCGGCTGCGGCTGTGGCACTGCAGCGGCCATTCCGCTCGTGCCAAAGTGCATATTGTATGCCATGGCCGCCATTGCCCTCTGCTGGGCAAAGGGATCCATCTGTATCCTTCCAGGATCTCGCAGCCAAAAGTCTGCTGAATGGTCCAACAAATTGCTCATGCTCTTCACACATGTGAACAATCCAGCAACTCTCGCCATCACTGCCACTGCCATGCAAGCTTCAATCACTGGGACTGCAAACTCAATCAATTGAATCAACTCATTCAAGCAATGGTTCCAAACAGCAGACAGACAGACACCTTTTTTCAACACAGTGGATAGCAGCTTCGATTAATTGCGAGGACTTGAATTGAAATTGTTGGCACAAGTATCTGCAGAGGTCCCAGCGTGTGTCCGGCTTGGTTTTGAACTATTTTGTTCATAATTTACAAATTCAATTAATTTAATAGTATAATTGTAACACAACTAAATTATGTATTTGTCATAATTAATAAAGTGTATGACACTGGAGTATTAAATAAAGGGCCCAATTATTCATTCATCACCACCAGCCACCCTTACTGCCGGGACCCTGCCATGGGTAGCCACTGCACCACTGGCACGAAGACCTCTGAGCCTCTGCCAGGGCAAGCTCACGGGATTGGAGATCCGCTTCCCAGTCAGACAAGCGTTTTTCCTTGTTGGCCATCTGCCGGTTCTTGAGCTCCATGGTCTTCTCCTTCCGGTCCAGTGCCTCGGCCCTTGCCTTGTCGTCCTGGACAGCCGACCTCTCGTAATTATTCACCATTTCCTCCACCTTGGTCAGCATGCTCTTGAGTGGCTCGCGAGGGTCGTCGTCCTCCTCCTCCGCCTTTCTCTTCATTGTCATCGCACACACCAGGCGGGATCTTCTCCCAAACTCAACACTGAGCCCAAAGCTGCTGACAACTTCAACACTTGATTCGTGGACTCGTGACATGGAAGTGACTGTACTCGACTCAAACCAGGCACCAACACTGCACAGAAGCATTACGAGCGTGGCTCCTGCTTCAAGTTCGCCAGCTCAGTCTCGATCTTGCTGTTGTGCTCGGTTTTGGACAGCTTGTTCTTCCTGAATCACTGAAGCAGATCACTCGGCAGCAATTCATCGGAACTAAAATGGCCACCATGACAGTTTAATTTAGCCGGGGAGCTTCGCGAAACTCTTTCTCAAGCTGCGAAGCAAAATCGCAACATCCTCCATAGTCTTCGCGTTCATGATGTTGATGTTCGAGAGGGATTTTCCACAGACTGGGCTTGTGTCAAAACAGGCTGCATGAGTGCTCTCACATCATAAGTATGCGGAACAGGTTGTGAGTGAAGGTGCAGCCAGGCAGCCGACTTGAGTCAGTTTCCCCAGCCGCTTCTTCCATCTCATGCTGGCTGCTCTTGCCTGGAGGAGCGATTTCATTGTGTAAGGCCAGCAAGCAAGCACTGGGTTGAGGCATATGAACGACAGCATTGCGACTCAGTCTCTGCAGTCCTGAGTGATTGCCTCGGCTTCGCCACCCTTGTGCTTCGACTTCTTCACCCGATTGCTGGTCTGCGTGAGCAATGCTTCCTGGAGTTTGCCGAATGGCATGATTCAGACATGCAGTCTCCCGATCACATGTTCAACTCAATGACAGCAGAAGTCTGACCGGAAGCAAGTCGTCTAGACTAATCCCTAATCAACAATTCAATGCCTAGAGGCGGTATCGCCGCCAATTTCCATGACTTCATCAGAAGTCACAACAGCAGTGACATTGGTGATGGCCACCGCAATCTGCTTCGCCGAAAGATCCTCTGCACGTGCCTGCTTCGAATTTCGCTGGTACTCCTTGCCGGGGAGCCCAAATATCGACACTAGCTCCGCCATGCCCTCCTCGACACTCTCAGCGGAGGTCTTGTCCGACGAAGAAGAGGCCGAGCCTTAATTTGTCACAGTCCCACTGATTATTTAAGAATAGTAGGTAAATTTTCAGCATAGCATTAGGCAGGAATCGCTTCTTGTGCTTCTTGTTCCTGTCCTTGTGGTCCTTGCCCTTATTCTTCTTCTTCTCGACGTCATCCCCTGCGGTCAGGCGTACATTCTTCTTAGTAGATTTACAATCGCTGCATGGTTTGGTACCTTGGTGTGAACCTGCCTCCTGCCACGAGTGCTTTGGCCAGGCGAGCATGTGCAGAGGAAAGTAGGAACCCATGGGCAGAGTCTGCATCTGGCTGTGGGGGCTCCAAGGAACGGCTGGATAGAGTCCTCAAATTCTCACATCAATCAATGAATGAAGTCAAACAGGCTTGCAACGACACGTTGTCCGGGAACGGCACTTAGACGTCTCGATGTGGTAGGCTAAATTAGCTCGGAACTAGCCAGGACAACTTTGGAACTCCAGTCCTGGTGGGCTGCTTTCTCATCTTGCCCCGAACGTAGATCCACCCACACGAAACGGAACTAGCTATATACTGCTTGAGCAAGCAAAGCCTTTCGGATTTGATTGTTCAAATGCCCCAACTCACGAAGACTTTGCTAGACTCACTCGCAACTCTGCCCCCCCTGCACTTACTTACTTACACTTTATTTAATATTCTTACCTTAAATAATCCCTGGATGAAAACTCGCGAGCGGCTATCCGCTGATTCCGGGCCACCATTTTAATTTAAACCGAGCGAATTACACGTCTGCGGCGGCTACTCCGCCAGCTGAACCCAACTATTATAAGCAGGTAAACAGCCGCCTCGCGGCAAAGCGGCTAGTCCGCTATCCACACACTAGAAACAGCGGCTAGTCCGCTTAGCTAGTGGGAAAGCTAGTTATAAAATTTGTAGCGGCTAGCCCGCTTTAAATTCAACACTTGTGCTACATAGACAAATAATGCAAAAGCGGCGATAGGCCGCTGTGCAGCGGCTAGTCCGCTTTTCAATTAATTAATAAGCCAGCCACTTCCACTGTCACTGTTGCCACGGAATGCAGACTCATTACTACTGGTCACCCAAATCCCTTCATTCATAGACTCCGGACTGACATCCCAATCTGACAACAAGGAGCAAACGAAATCTACCGATTTTCCTCGAAGCACAGGTCTTGCCCTGTCGCCATAAAATTATTTATATGACAAAGGAACTGACTAATTAATAAGCCATGTGCAGTCACTCGCAGCTGCCAGCCAGCCCCGCCCCATGGGCAATCCCACGGAGGCACCAAACCTGCCACATTGGGACCTTGACAGGAGCATATTTCGACGATTCTGAAGCACTCGGCTACAGCAAGCTGAGGACTTACCCGGCCGGGCCAAAATCAGACTAGCTGAATCTCATATCAAATGCCGAAATGTTGTTTCAACACATAATTGAGCCGGCCCAGGCGCTCTGGGACATCTCCCGAATGGTCCCAGATCATCCCAGTGTCCTGAAAGAGACAAACTGGGCCAACAGGGTCACCCAAGTCGTGAAGTCGCAGGAGTACCACTACCACTAGTACAAGTACAGCACTTTGCCGCTACCAAAACTCCACTGCTTCCATCACTACGAGTAACAACACCGGACGACAGGAATCACTACTACTACTTACACAAATTCACTGGACTAGGAGACTAGGACTACAACAACAACTACTAGTAGTAGTACTACTACTACTACTACTACTACTACTACTACTACTACTACTACTACTACTACTACTACTAGTACTACTGCTAGTACTACTACTACGACGACTACTACTACTACTACTACTACTACTACTACAATAACAACACTACTACTACTACTACTACTACTACTACTACTACTACTACTACTACTACTACTACTACTACTACTACTACTACTACTACTACTACTACTACTACTACTACTACTACTACTACTACTACTACTACTAAACTACTACTACTACTACTACTACTACTACTACTACTACTACTACTACTACTACTACTACTACTACTACTGACTAATGCTGCTAGCACTACTACTACTATTACTACTACTACTACTACTGCTGCTGCTAGCACTACTACTACTACTAGTACACTACTACTACTACTACTACTACTACTACTACTACTACTACTACTACTACTACTACTACTACTACTACTACTACTACTACTACTACTACTACTACTACTACTAGTACTACTACTTCTACTCCTACTTCTTCTACTACTACTACTACTTCTAACTAATACTACTGCTACTACTCCTACCACCACCACCACCACCACCACCACCACCACCACCACCACCACCACCACCACCACCACCACCACCACCACCACTACTACTACTACTACTACTAATACTACTAGTACTTGGACTACTACTCCAAGACGACGACGACTGCTGCTACAACGATTTTCTATTAATTTAATTAATAGTAATAATATTTATTTAATTTAATTTAGTAATAATACTAAATAACTATCTACTAAGTACTACTGCGACCGCCACTGCTACTCATCTCATAACATACTGCAACTACTACGACGACTACCACGGCTACTACGACGACAACGACTATTACACTAGTAGGTTAAAACGATAATTATTTGGTACAGCGAAACAGCCAATCTTCATAAAGCAACGTGCAATTGCATATGAAAAACTCCCAACCCCTACCTATTCAAATTATTAGCCCAACCAGGAGTCACAGGTCCATGATTCAGGCGCCCAGGACTTCCCATCCCTGGTCAGGATAAGGTTCATGAGCACAGAAGCACAGACAGGAGCCAAGGACATTCTGCAGCTACAGGATCCTAACGATTGCACAAAATTCAAAAGACTCCAAGAACTGTTCGAAATCTCATCCTACCTAGCCAACGAATCAGAAACCTGCTGAACTCTGGAATCTCTGCTTTTGCAACACAATGGTGCCTCTGCCGGAGCTGCAACCGGACGGGTAACCATGAACTCATCTGCCTTTACAGGATGGGGCTGTTGCTTTGAAATGCAGGAGTGAACAAACAAATCCCATTTCAATTCAATGATCAATCACAAAACTCGCCTCGAAAATCAGATCCTCCACGATGCGTCTTTTCTTCTTGGGGAGGCTAATGGCAGGCGCTTCGAGGTTCGTAAACCACTCATCCAAGTCCTCGGCACACCACAACCGAAGGATACCTATTGTCGCACCCTGGCTTCGGCTTGCACTGTCAACTGCAAAACCCAGGCCTGGTCCGCAAGCTTCTTGGCAACGGCGTTCAGGAGGGCACCGATGTCGGAGGTGAAGAGGTTTCGCCGATGCCGCAATGTCACGGTGTCCACGACCTTAGATCTGTTCAATCCTGCAAGATTGGATTCGAGTCGATGTCTCAGGGCCACCATTGAAACAAGTGGCTGCAAAGCCATAGGTCCCCGTAATCTCGCAGACCGCCGCCCCCTGAAAAGGCTCCTCCGATTCCCTGGGATACTTCATTTCTTGGTACCTCAGAACAATCAACCAAGCACAAGAGCAGGCCCTATGCTCGAACCGTCTTGACCTAATTCAGTCCAGTGCAAGCACGTCGCAGCGGCTGCAACCGCCTCGAAAGTCCTTTCAGTGATCTAATCAGCAGCCTGTCGTTTCCCAGCAATAACGTAGGGAACCTGAGGCATTGCCCACCGAATATTGAATACTGATGCAAGCAAAGCCTGACCATGGTAGTAATTTGACCTAGATACCGCCCGGAAGCACCGAAACACTTCATGTCGAAGCCGACCTTCTCGAAACCACCTCGGTCGAGTGTCGCCTGCAGACGGCAATTCACAGGGTAAGGCTTGAAAAGCTTTCGTGACCAGTCCTTCATAGCTCCGTTCATGAAGGCAGGGCCGTGACTGTAGGGCACGTGGAGAACGAACCGTACACCGATCGCATAGCACAGCTCCACTGCATTCCGGAGGAACTCCTAAGTTCAGCACAACTCACAAATTATAACTAACCCAATTTGACCACAGAGGCAAGTCGCTGCCACCGGCTTCTCTGTGCATGCCGCTGCTCCTGGCCTGGAAAAGTAAAAGAGTCTGATGCCAACAATGACAATGCCCCTGCATGTCGAGTCGAGTGGCAAAGCATAGAACAACCCGCCAGGGTATACCCGACTGATCATTTGCAAACCTGGGATACACTCTTCCAGCATTAAGTAAGGAGTCTTGTGGTCAAAACTCAAGGACTTGCAATCGAGAGGCACAGTGCTCGTCCATCAGCATTCCGGATACACTCGCTGGCAACGAAGGCACGAAGAGCAGAGTTTGCGATGTTCTCCTCGTGCACAGTTTTGTTAAGTTCGGGCGGGGTGTGGGGGGTGGACTCCATGCAAACATCACAACAACTCAGGCATGCACTTGGGTCATGCCCTCACCGAAGTATGGTGACGTCGCACCGTAGAACAGTGCGTGGATGAAGCGGTTCCGCCTCATTGTTGCACCTTCTTCGTTGTACTTGGGGTCGAAAACCCAGGGGCAAGCCTCTTCACATAGCACACGGGTTTCTGCAGGCATCGCGGCAACGGTGTCCATGGCTTCCTAACAATATTTACCTGTTACTGAATCAGAAATCGCGAAATCATTATTCGAAGCTTACTCGTGCTACTGCTCGCCAGATATAGTTCGCGAATATTGACTACTTATTATGGGATCTACCAGACAGAACGAAGCAGCACCGGAGCAAAACATAGCTACAGCAGGACAGTTGAGACAGAACGCATAAATGACATGCAACGGTCATCGAGACAGACCGGCTATGGACATCCTTGATTAAAGGAACCCTGAGGTATCCCTAATTTTCGGTAAACTCGCTCCTGGGTGCGCTCGCCGGGCCGTTACCTCGCGAGCGTGTTGGAGCCCTCGGCTCCTGACGTTGGAAGTGGCGGAGGCCATATATTTCATTACCTTGAACTCATACCCTTGATTAAGGAATATACTTTAAACTATGAGGGGCTCATAATATTATGATTTAAGCTATATTCCTTAATTAAGGGGTATTGGGCTCTCTGGGTACCCAGCTTGGTAATGGCTGCGATCTTCCCATGATGTGTTGGACGATGTTGCCGGCACAGCCAGAAATAGACAAGTTCTGAGCTGTTTGCCTGACAATGCAACACGGAACGACGGAAAATGGTGGAGTGCTGCCAAAGGTTTCGCAAGACGTGCTGAGTCTCTTCTCAAACCCACCGCACGCCACCCGTCGCTCACGTCAAAGCAG